CCTAAAAATTGTGTTCCTCAATACTATGCTTCTCAAGAGAGCCAACACACTCTCGAAAGGTCTAATACTCATGACTGTCTCTTCAAGCCACGCAAATGGATCAATTGGTTCAGTTTATTCCATAAACTTGTCCAATGATTCATCGCTTAAAGATCTTTCTAAAGGTTACTGCTCGTGATTGTACCCATGAACCATGAAGCAAAGACAGAAAAATGGTATATATTGAATCTTGGAACAAAGACGATTCAGAAAAGGCTTACTTAGTTCGCGTGCATTCGTTTTAAGACCGTCTTAAAAATCGCGAAATTCGGTTCGCTGAGAAGTTCATCCGATAACCGGAGATATGTGAACCCAAACATCCTCGGATTACTATCTTGGTTAATCCCATTAGGCCTCGCGTTTAGATGAATCAGGTTATACTCATCTCTATCGAATCTCGGAAGGGCATTTTCGCCCGTAACTTCAATCCCTTCTCTCCATCAACACAGCTCAAAACCTTGAAAAATAAAACCATCGGCAAAATCAATCTAAGTAACATATATATAAAAGTGATCAATTTGACTTACTTATTGAACAAGTTCTTGAGGTCCACTCTTAGCTTTTGCAGGCTGCTATGGGTTTTTTGAGTACTCGAATGGGACATACACATACCTTGAATAAGAAGGAAAGTTTTTCTTGTCATGGTACTCCAAAAAGTTACTTCTCCATGGTCATCAGTTTCCATTCTTCTCAAAAACTTTTCTTATTAAATTTTTTGTACTCTTGTATTTTTCGAAAGTTTCCATTCCAGATGCCTGATTCTTCTAGCTTCATCTGCATAGTCTGATCTTAGATACTTGTCCTAAGACTGTGGGATGGAAAGAAAAAAAGAGCAAAAATATTAGAAAGCTCTATTTTATTTTCAGACCCGGGAGATGAATTTGAGAGCTTCACAATTTCCCTACATTTCTTACTTGAAATTCTCCGATTCCAGGGAAAACTCATCATTGAGTGTCATTGTAAGGAGGGTATCTAAGTTCTCCAGCAGGAGCAACACCTACTTCAATATCTATTATAACTCCTGAGCTAATGGAATCTTCCATGTTTCTCTCTAAAGCTCTTCATGTAATCTATGTACATCTATAAACAGAGCAAGATTATATGGAAAGCAACATTTCGTGTTTTTTTTTTTATTTCAAGATCTTTTCATACCTCAACTGCGATTCTTCCTTTAAAAAGAGGCAAGTTATCTACAGAAAAAGACAGACACTCTTTGTTTCGATTACCATTCTTGTTTGTCTAGAAGATATCCAGATTCGAATTCCCGATTTCAAGCAAGCATACGTGACTCTGTTTGAGTTTCTTAAGTTTTTTTCTTGATCTTCTCTTTTTTGCAAGAACGTTATCGTTTCTTATGACTCCAAGTTAAAGCATGACGTAGACATGAACATAGTTGTCAACCATTTTGATGTCAGACGTCGTCGTATTGGTCTCTCTCGCCTATTATTTTCATGGTCGAAGATTCAAACGTTAAACCAGAGAGCTATCTAGAAAAACGGACAAGATTCTTGTCATCCTACACTAACCTCTGTTTCAGTTGTAGTAGCAGTGGCTTGAGGCGTTCTTAGTGATCCGTACTCGATTGAGAATCTCCATTGGACTCGTTTTTGGATGTCTTCAGAAGCTAAAAGAATGATGCAATACATGTTAATGAACAGGTAAATAGAGGTAGAGTATGTTCTTTGTGATTGAAATTGCAGTAACTAACCTGGTTAGTGAGGTCATATGTTTCTTCCTTAGCTTTATCTTTGTGGAAGGTTTCATCAATTGCATATGACATCATCTATATCGGGAAAACAGGAAAAAAAACATGACACAGCCAATCTTTGTGATTAAACTCAGTTTAAAGCAAGCTCTTAAATATTTTACCGTCATGTATGAATGTGCAAACTGCTAAAGTTCTTGATTATTTTACCTTGTTTCGTGATGCGGTCATCAAACCTGTAGCTGGTTCGGAGCTCCATCAAATCTGTAGTTGGTTCGGAGCTCCATCAAACTTACCACTCGAGCCGCAGAGGATCCAATAAGGACACATGTACTTTTAATGGAGCCTACCGAATTAACCAGGAAGAGTTAAGCAACAAGGAAGCTTGTTACATAAGCTTAACTCATCAGAGATTTAGAGAGAAGAAGAATTGGGTCAATAGGAGCTGGGACCAAATCGGAACTGAATTTACAACTCGGGTGATTCCAGACTTTCATGCTACTGAAGCCGATGCAGACCTATGGACACTGTTTGATAAATTCCGCCTTAACCACAACGATTCAGGTCATGAAACCACTTTCAGTAGATTCTCAGCTCAGATGGTGAACTCCTCAAAGTAGAATTAGTCCAATATCAGCTCACATGAAGGAGTTATTAAGTTTTCAAGTTGGGTGACTTCAAATTTACCGATTTGGACCTACGCGCACTCGTTGGATGATTGCGACTAAACCAGAGAGAATTAAGCTATGAATTGACTTGTTCTGTAATCTTGGTTTATCATAGAACCACAGATTATTAAATTCATGCTAAAAACAAAAGTGGTTTGGAAGATATCAATTTTCTAAACTAGAGGATCCCAGACTTGTCTTATTTGGAATCTTGGATCATTAAACCAAAACGGTCATATTTCAATCAACTTGTGCACATTCTTAAGTCTCCCTACATCATTAAGAACGTTCTAAAGGCACATCACTTCCTCCCCAAGCTGTCAAGATACAAGGAGCCTCCAGCTTACCTTATTTGGCCGATTGGGCAATAATTCTCCAACGGCTAGTTTCTGATTTAATATTCACGATTTGCTTCTTTTTTAGACCTTAGAGATGTTTTATGTCGAGTCTATATAATCTCATTTCATTGCTCATTGTAAATCACCCATCATCTTTGAATTAATCAATAAAACGTTAAGTTTTCTTCTACAAAAAAGTGTCTTTTGTGTTCTTATCATTTCAAGCCCTTGGTGAGATTCCATTATCTTGTATGATTGCGTTTCTAGGTTGTTTGTGAGATTCAAACATTCTGGTTCGTGTGTTGATGTGGATTCAACGACAAAACCTCTATCTCCAACTCTATCATCATCCAACTTCCGCGCAGAGCCGGCCCTGACATATGGTGGGCCCCAAGCACAATTTTTTTTTGGCCCATTAATTTTAAATTGCAAAAAAAAAAAAAAAATTAGCATGTAATGATCTAAGGGTTACTCGAACTTGAGACCCCAAAGTTCCTTTAGTGTCTGTTAGCCAACTGAACTACTGAAGATTCTCATCATAAATTAGCCCCTTAAATACTTATGATTATTTACGGCCCTAAGCACATGCTTCATGTGCTTCTACTGAGGCCGGCTCTGCTTCTGCGTGTTTAGTTTGTAAACTCTCGATCATCTTGTGAACATAAGTTTGGTGGATTCCAATCTTATATAATTTCGTCGAAGCCATTTGCTGAAAACATGAAACAACAGAGGAAGATATATGAAAAAGAGGTGAGAGAACGCATCAAAATAGTAAAATGAAGCAAAGGGAGATCATTACCTTGTTCATTGCAATCATATTAGCTTTGATTGCACCTTTCATGCCACATGGAATTGAGGTGGTTGCATACAATGCCTAATGCCTAATCTGAAGTCCAACCTTGATCGATGGTGGTAGTTGCCGATCTGGATTTGGATAGAATGAAATTTTGTGCATCTCGAAGCGATTATTAGAAAGTGTGATCAAACATTTGGGAAGGAGATCCTATATCACGCTAAACACATCCACACCATGACATTTCAAGAGGCTTGTAACATAATCCATCTTCTCTTATCTAAAAAAACATGCAAGAAAATTATTCTTCTGCTCAGTGCTAAGTTCCTCATAGCTTGTTTCCAGAACTTCATAAATATCTCTATCCAATCCACTTTTCAGTCTATCGAATTTACTGTGGATCAATTTATGGTGTTTGATAACAGATTTGAAGTCTTCCCCTTCGGTTTGAAAGCACGAAGACGGTTCCAGTGGTGACGGAGAACAGAAAGACGAAGAGATGTGATTTGGGGTTTTTTTCCGAGGGATTTGTTTTTGTTCGATTGTTTAATTATTTTTGGGACAGGTGTCATACATATAGAAAGCCACATGTCCTCTCACGGAGAGTGTAGACCATGTATAGTATAGATGTGTTTACAAAACCGTGAAATAAATTTTGGATAGTAACAACAAGCCCCACAACCACCATTGTGAATGCTCGGCTATTAACTTTTTCCGGTTACACCGGTTTTTGTCTCTATTTAAGAGTTTAAATTTCTGCCGATACGAATAATTTTTCTTCAAGAACAATGTTTTATTCTACTCATTCATGTTTGATATGTTCTTGAAGTTTCGTTGATAGATGTATAATTGTACTTGTATCTCTTGGGTAAACTATTTTTGAAAATAAAATAAGAGTTAATTACTAAAATGACTTTGGAAAGTAGGGTAATTACTAGAATGACTTTGTCAAATCTAGTAACTTGACACAACTCGATAAAAGACAAATAAACTTTAATAATCTATCTTATTTACGCAACTGCCATCCTGAAACCTAAAAAAAAAAAACTTATAAATCTATCATAACTACCCAATAAGTCTACCACCACATGTATACGTTGGAAATTCTTTAAACCAATAAATAAAACATTTGTTTGAAACCACCGTCGCGGAGGCTGCGGAAGCACCGGATCATGCTCGGCGAAGGTGGGGAGGCTGCAGAAGCACCGAGATTTAGGTAAAAATTGAACTAAAAATCAAAAGTTGAAAAAAAAACTCAAAATCTTTTGATTTTTTGTTAGAAAATGGATATATGATGTTAGATCTACTAGTTTTAGGCTAAACCCAGTTGAAAACAAATTAAAACACAGCAAAAACGAGCTAAAAATGAGTTGGCCGCCATTGTTAGGGTTTGACATAAGCTTGGGTGTGTTGGAGAAGATGAAGGGTAAATTACGATTTTGTCTTTCATTGAATAAATCTACCACTACTATAAATAAATATTATAAGTCTACCACTACTATAAATAAGTCTACCACTATTATAAATAAATCTACCACAACTGTAATTAAGTAAGGTCATTCTAGTAAAACTCTGAAAAGATTTAATAAGTCTACCACAAAGACAAATAAGTCTACCAAATTTAATAAATCTACCACAACTTTAAACAAGTCTACCATAGGGCGAAACCATAATTAAGTCTACCACCACTAAATATAAGTCTGTCAGATATTATAAATCTACCACTACTATAAATAAGTCTATCATCGCTAAACATCAATAAGTCTACCAATCAAAAAATTAAATCTATCATCACTACAAATAAGTCTACCGATCATAAAATTAAGTCTACCAGTACTACAAATAAGTCTACCACATCTTATAAATCTACCACTACTATAAACAAGTCTACCATCGCGCAAACCATCAATAAGTCTACCACTACTACTAATAAGTCTATCACTGACAAATAAATCTACCATAACTATAAATAAGTCTACCATCGCACGAACCATCAATAAGTCTACCAATCACAACACTAAATCTACCACAACCACTAATAAGTCTATCACTCAAAAATAAATCTACCACAACTATAAATAAGTCTACCACTACAACGCATAAGTCTACCGAAGTCTGCACCGTAATAAGTCTACTGACCACTTTATAAATCTACCACTACTACAAATAAGTATACCGATCCCAAAATTAAGTCTACCAGTACTACGAATAAGTCTACCACATATTATAAATCTACCACAACTATAAATAANTCTACCATCGCGTACACCGTAATAAGTCTACCAGACGTTTAATAAGTCTANCNTNACANAATGGTAGACTTATTTAATTTTGGCGGGAAAAAATTTCTGCTTCATTAATGGCAGTTTCGTAAATACGTTTTTTGTCTTCAAATGAAATAAGGTTAACATAGGAATTAAAATTTTTTCAAAGTCATCCTAATAATATTTAAAGATAGAGGTCATTCTAGTCCAAATTTTTGCTTGACAAGGTCATTCTAGTAAACCACCCATAAAATAATACATATTGATGAAAATAATTTTGAAAATTGTCTTAGTTTTGTTTGATAAAAATTAAATTCGTTAATGAAGAGAGTAACGTACGTAACGTCTTTTAATCATCAATCCATCAAACTATACTATAGTAACCATATACATTGGTTTTGCAAATAACAGAAAAAGAAAAATTGTAGGTGAGTTGGCTATCTCTAAATAGCAAAATTTTCTCCAAACCGACCAAAACTTGAGTCATGCATGATGCAACAACCACTTACTTTTCTCATGCAAACCCTAATTTTCGCATCTTCTCTCAATTCTCTCTCTTTCGTCTGCCCTCTAAGCCAATCTCCACCACACATTCCATAACTCCCACCTTTCTCCGATGGAGGGGCCACGGCTTCCTCCCTCCGCCGCCGCCCATGAATCCGACGATGACAAACCCGATGATCCTCCTTCTGTTTGGCATCGTCCAACCTCCAGTCTCCCCTCGTTGCCCTTTCAAGATCCTCCACCACACCATTGGCGTAATCATTCTCTTGACTTCTCTTCGATCCCAACCACACCTCTTTCGTCTCTTGCTCCTCCGGATTCAATCCCTGAGCTAGAGACTTACGTTGTTCAGGTCCCGAGAGATCAAGTCTATTGGACTCCTCCTCCGGACCATGCAAAATACGTGGAAAAACGCAGGAAAAACCCGGAGAAAAACAAGAAAAGTGGATGTTCTAAACGTCTTATGTGGTTCCTCATCATCTTGATCGCTTTTGGATTCATCCTCGGTGCAATCACTCTCGTCCTCCATTTTGCTTTCAACCCCGCTCTTCCGGTTTTCGCAATAGAGAAATTCTCCTTTGTACCTAGTAATTTCGAGGTCACCTTGAAAGCCGAGAATCCGACATCTAACATGGGGGTAAGCTATATGATGAGAAAAAACGGGGTAGTTTCCTTAACATACAAGGATAAAAGCCTGGGACGCGGGAAATTCCCCAGGCTGTCCCAAGTGGCGATGGGATCTGACAAGATTAGTTTGAAGCTCAATGGGTCGACCAAGAATGCGGCTATGCCACCTAGTGGATCGAAATTACCGCTGAGTTTGGTGCTGAAGATTGAGCTGAAGGCAGAGTATGAAGCAGGACCGGTGAAAAAGAACAAGGAAGCGGCGGTGACTTGTGATGTTAAGGTTAAGGGATTATTAGATGCGAAGAAGGTTGAGATTGTGTCGGAGAATTGTGAGAGTGAGTTCAAGAACTGACACACTCTCTCTCTATATATATTTTTATATATAACATGATTGTGTCGTTAGAGTTACGATGTACTAAATAATAAATACTTTCGATGTAATGTTCAATTGTTCATTTTTTTTTCCCTTTCCCCAAATGTCTTTGTTTTTACTCTATATTGTTGAGCGATAAAAGAAAACAAGAACAAAGAACACAATAGACAGAAATGTTATTTTTGATCAAAAAAAAAAAAGACAGAAATGTTATTCTTTTTTGGGTCAATTTGCTAACTAACCCAAAAAAAAATTACAATTAGTGTAATAGCCATGTAATAAATATAATTAGGAAAGTAACAACTAACATAGTATAGGCATGAAGAAACTAACAACTAACATAGAATATACATATCTTATCTATACATTATTACATAACATAGAATTTAAATACAGGAAAAATAGAAAAAATGAGGGTTTGAAGTTATATAA